CTGGTTGCAGTATATGGTGAACATGCATGGGGCCACTACTACAGGCAGCACAGTGACCATGTTAAGGGCCAGTACTGGTTGCCGTACGGTGGTATGGATGAGGCAGCACAGTGACCATGGGGCCAGTACACTATGGTGAACATGCATAAACTACTACTACAGGCAGCACAGTGACCATGTTAAGGGCCAGTACTGGTTGCAGCATGGTGAACATATATGGGGCCACTACTACAGGCAACACAGTGACCATGTTAAGGGCCAGTACTGGTTGCAGTTGCAGCATGGTGAACATGCATGGGGCCACTAATACAGGCAGCACAGTGACCATGTTAAGGGCCAGTACTGGTTGCAGTATGGTGAACATATATGGGGCCACTACTACAGGCAGCACAGTGACCATGTTAGGGGCCAGTACTGGTTGCAGTATGGTGAACATGCATGGGGCCACTACTACAGGCAGCACAGTGACCATGTTAAGGGCCAGTACTGGTTGCAGTATGGTGAACATGCATGGGGCCACTAATACAGGCAGCACAGTGACCATGTTAAGGGCCAGTACTGGTTGCAGTGCATGGTGAACATATATGGGGCCACTACTACAGGCAGCACAGTGACCATGTTAAGGGCCAGTACTGGTTGCAGTATGGTGAACATGCATGGGGCCACTACTACAGGCAGCACAGTGACCATGTTAAGGGCCAGTACTGGTTGCAGTATGGTGAACATGCATGGGGCCACTACTACAGGCAGCACAGTGACCATGTTAAGGGCCAGTACTGGTTGCAGTACGGTGAACATATATTGGGCCACTACTACAGGCAGCACAGTGACCATGTTAAGGGCCAGTACTGGTTGCAGTATGGTGGACATATATGGGGCCACTACTACAGGCAGCACAGTGACCATGTTAAGGGCCAGTACTGGTTGCAGTACAGTGAACATGTAAGGCGACTACAGGTAGCACAGTGACCATGTAAAGGGCCAGTACTGGTTGCAGTACGGTGAACATGCATGGGGCCACTACTACAGGCAGCACAGTGACCATGTTAAGGGCCAGTACTGGTTGCAGTACTGTATGGTGAACATATATGGTGCCACTACTACAGGCAGCACAGTGACCATGTTAAGGGCCAGTACTGGTTGCAGTACGGTGAACATGTATGGGGCCACTACTACGGGCAGCACAGTGACCATGTTAAGGGCCAGTACTGGTTGCAGTATGGTGAACATGTTTGGGGCCATTACTACAGGCAGCACAGTGACCATGTTAAGGGCCAGTACTGGTTGCAGTATGGTGAACATGTATGGGGCCATTACTACAGGCAGCACAGTGACCATGTTAAGGGCAGGGGTGGAAATAACTTTAAAATTGCTAGTGTACTCCGGTACAGTTGCACATGTAAAATCACTTGCCCTGATAATTTTTCCACTATACCGGCCATTTTCTTGTTGATTTTTTAAATAAACAACATAATTAATATTGGAAAGTCAACTGGACACCGGTACAGTGCGATATACAAATTTGCTTGCCCGACAGAAAAAACACTGGACTCGGGCGTCGGGCAATGGGTTATTTCCACCCCTGTTAAGGGCCAGTACTGGTTGCAATACGGTGAACATGGATGGGGGCACTACTACAGGCAGCACAGTGACCAAGTCAGGTGCTACTACAAGAAGCGTCATATGAGCGAAATATTCTCAAGCACGATGTTAAACCCAATTTCACCTCACTTCAACAGTGGTTAACGGTTTCAAGACTTGTGCTACATTATCGTACATACAGTGCAATATCCCCAGTGTTAAGTACTGCAGCTCCACAAATGCACCCTAAGTACTCTCTCCCTGTACAGACCTCTAACAGGCTTTCTTTATGACTGGAATTCAGTTGACATTAATTGAGTGTGGTGAAAACTTCAAATATTTCCAAACAGGAGATTTAAATATCCCGGTTCTAAAACACACCTTCCATGAAATCAAAATTGGTATCAAGGTGAGAACCTGGGTTATGGTGTTTCTGACTGACTACGGTTGGTAGCATTGTCTGACCTTATCATTTCATATTTGGTGTAATGTATTTTCTAAGGCAGAAAAAGTCAAGCCTGTAAGACTTGCCATCAGGGTGGTCTCATATTCGTCAAGCAGCCAAATAGATCATTGGCCAAATACAGGGTTTTACACAGACTTTGAAAAAAGAGAGTCATGGTGACCCACAGTATTTATTTTTGGGAGTCATTTCCAATATTTGGGAGTCGTGAAAATGTTAGCGTAATATTTATGTGTGTATATCAAAAAGCAAGAGTTTTGCAAAGATTTTATTGTTTTGTGTTGCATTGTCATTTATGTTAGTTTATGAACAGTATATTTGTCGCTGTTCAGTTCATTCATAACAAATTCCAGTATACTGAACACATAATCAGGCTTGTGATTTATTCACTGTAACATACAGTTATTAACATGAATTGAAAGAAATATCTAAATTAATGAAGACCTCACAGAAACTATCATTGTTGCTATCAAATCGATTTTATTGACTCTGAACTGAATTCTGAGGGTCACTCATAATACGGTACTTGCGTCAAGCTTGACTCGTATGATAATATTTTGAGAGTCTCTAACAAATTTGTTGCGTCAAATACGCAGGAATCCCACGTCATGTAAAACCCTGCAAATAAATGGGCTTCAGAAAAACGTTTTATATGAGATATTGATGAAACATCAAAACAATAATCGATGTGTGTCAATAAATCAATTGATAGTAAAACAAATGGAATGTGAATCATATAGGGCCCGTAAGTAGGTCACGGCACCGGTGACAAACAATGTACACTTGGTCCGGTCCAGTCAAGTCATATTTGGCACTTGCACAACTTGGAACCAGAACTGGTTCTTTAATACAGGCTTGACACCGGAAATCTGATACCGGAGGTAAGCTGGGCCCCATCTCACATATCCCAAGTTGGCGCGTGCAAAGGAAGCAGGGAACCAGCTAAGTACTGGAAGTGGTGCCTGTTGTAAGCGAGACTTACAGGCCCTATTGTGCCAAACTTGCCGGCAATGCACCGGTACATAGTGACATCACTACAAGTCGCTGTTATAATTGTATAACACACCCAGTAGGGAAGGATTCATCTAGCACAGGATACAAAACATTGCATGAATTACTTTCGGTCACAATTCCATCATATTCTTGGAAGATTTCAATAAATAATAAGCCCTTGGTTGCTTTTATGAAAGCAGAAAAAAAGAAATAAAATCCATGCAACAAGTATACTACCTTCCTCATTTATAAGCAAGACTTAATACCAAACAAGAAGACAAAGTCATCAATATCCCCCGCAATGGCAAAATACTCTTCATGATTATGTCTACGAGTTATGATTATGCCAAATATTTAGGTGTGTATATAGAAAGTGGAAGGAGAGTATTGAAAGGTTTTTAAAGTTCTGCTCCAGAAAGGAGCACTACAACCAATTTCAGTCTATGTCAAACTTGTTGCCATGGAAAAGCCAAAAATATTTTATTGAGAATTCCAAAACTACCAAAAGGCACCAGTACACCACCAGATCTATCTATGTGCCAAGTTTGGTGAAGAAATAGTGAACTGTTTTAGAGTTCTGCTCCAGAAAAGAGCACTACCACTAATTTCAGTCTAAGTCGAACTGTTGCCACGGAAACGCCAAAAATATTTTATTCAGAATTCCAAAACTACCAAAAGGCACCAATACACCACCAGATCTATCTATGTGCCAAGTTTGGTGAAGAAATAGTGAACGGTTTTAGAGTTCTGCTCCGGAAAAGAGCACTACCACTAATTTCATTCTTACTCTTAGTCGAACTTGTTGCCATGGAAACGCCAAAAATGTTTTATTGAGAATTCCAACACTACCAAAAGGCACCAGTACACCACCAGATCTATCTATGTGCCAAGTTTGGGGAGTATTTTTGAACTGTTTTAGAGTTCTGCTCTGGAAAAGAGCACTACCATCAATTTCAGGCTCAGTCAAACTTGTTGCCACGGTAAAGCCAAAAATATTTTATTCAGAATTCCCAAACTACCAAAAGGCACCAGTACACCACCAGATCTATCTATGTGCCAAGTTTGGTGAAGAAATAGTAAACGGTTTTAGAGTTCTGCTCCGGAAAAGAGCACTACCACCAATTTCAGGCTAAGTCAAACTTGTTGCCATGGAAATGCCATAAATATTTTATTCAGAATTCCCAAACTACCAAAAGGCACCAGTACACCACCAGATCTATCTATGTGCCAAGTTTGGTGAAGAAATAGTGAACGGTTTTAGAATTCTGCTCCGGAAAAGAGCACTTCCACCAATTTCAGTCTAAGTCAAATTTGTTGTCATGGAAACGCCAAAAATATTTTATTAAGAATTCCAAAACTACCAAAAGGCACCAGTACACCACCAGATCTATCTATGTGCCAAGTTTGGTGAAGAAATAGTGAACGGTTTTAGAGTTCAGCTCCGGAAAAGAGCACTACCACTAATTTCATTCTTAGTCGAACTTGTTGCCATGGAAACGCCAAAAATATTTTATTAAGAATTCCAAAACTACCAAAAGGCACCAGTACACCACCAGATCTATCTATGTGCCAAGTTTGGTGAAGAAATAGTGAACGGTTTCAGAGTTCTGCTCCGGAAAAGACAAATGTGCACGGACAGATGAAGGCAAGCACGGATGGAGTCCATTACAAATGAGTGAAGGATGTTATGTGCAATCATGAAAACAAGACATTTATGTTCCATACCAAAATGCCAAAGTGGAAATTGCCCATAAAAACTACCTGGGAAACAGAAAACAAATAAATATTTCATATCAGAAGACGATAATGACTCAAAAAGAGTCGTAAAACCTTGAGTCGTATTGTCTCTGTCAACACAAAAAACGCTTTGGTTCTTTGATAGTGCTCCTGAAGCACACAGTAAAATTGCAAATTTGGCTATAACCAACTAATCGTTCATCATCAAATAATAAATGTCACCCACCTTTCGGCTGAGCCCCGCCATGCTGTCTGGTTACTATGGGAACTGGATCTGTCACTCTCTTTCCCGGGAACATCTCAGTGACTTCTTCACTCACACTCTGGACCACATCATTGCCTGGAGCGAAGATTGAATGAAATTTGAGTAAACACACACCACTTTCAACATGTTTGATGTTTACTGCCACACTGAGCAATACTGCAGCTATACCGCAGCTATACCACAGCTATAGTGCAGCTATACCACAGATATATCACTGCTATATCACAGCTATAGTACAGCTATACCACAGCTATACTACAGCTATACCACTGCTATACCACAGCTATAGTGCAGCTATACCACAGATATATCACTGCTATATCACAGCTATAGTGCAGCTATACCACACCTATATCACAGCTATACCACAGCTATAGTGCAGCTATACCACAGATATATCACTGCTATATCACAGCTATAGTGCAGCTATACTGCAGCTACGTCACAGCTACGTCACAGCTACATCACAGCTTTATGACAGCAGTCTGTAAACAATCAAGTCTGGACAGGGTGATCCAGTGACTGACATCATGAGCATCGATGGTTGGATTTGAGATATAGTGACATGCATCAACCAAGTCAGCAAGCCAGACCACCCGATGTTGTTAATCTTATGACAACCATGGGTTGCTGAAGGCCAATTCTAACCCTGACCAACTTGTAGGATACGAGAATCAAACTCTTATTCAGCTGATTCTGGAAAATGACATATTTATTACCCTGGAGAGAGGGATTTATTTACACAAGGAATATGATATTGGTCATACACAATATTTATATTTAAAAACGGACGAGCTGAAAAAACATTTTCTCTGAAAATATTTGAGCGACATCGAACATGTTCAGCAATATTTTTTCATTTGTACAATATTTCCATCAAAAAGGAGGTGCTGAAAAAGGGAACATATTAGCCAAAAAAGGTTGTAGGATATCAACCATGCCAGCGATTATTTTTTTTTTCGTATTCTAAGTTTAAATCAAGTTTACTTCTTCACAGTATTGACTGAAAGAATAATGTTTTGCTTAAATCCCTACTAAAACTAAGTCTTAATCACAAGCTATATTTTCTGACTGAATTTGTGACATTGTATTGATGGATTTTGATTCATAAGGTTGTAATGACTGAACCAAATCTGTCAATTTAACTGTAGTTGTTTACTGTGTTCACTATGCGTTGAGAAGTCAGAGGATCCAGGTTACCTGAAGCATGCTGGAAGAAACAGTCAATAGAGCTGTAAAGAATTAAACTTAGTTGGTTGGTTGGTTTGTTGTTTAATGCAACACTCAGCAATATGCCAGTTATATGACGGCAGGTGCAGAGCAAGCTAATTTCATTGTATAAGCCCGATAGGTTGCAAAGCTTTATATCCAGTATTGATAGTATTGATGGCTTGCCCAACCTTTTTGGCAACAATCATGTGTAAGCCCAGGCTTTTTTTAATAATGGTAGGTATGCCCCTGGACAGTGGTCTGTAAATAATCGAGTCTGGACCAAACAATCCAGTGATCAACAGCATGAGCATCAATCTACGAAACTGGGATACGATGACATATGTCAACCAAGTCAGTGAGTCTGACCACCCGATCCTGTTAGTCACCTCTTCTGACAAGCATAGATTGCTGAAGACTAATTCTAACCTGGATCTTCACGGGTAAAATAAAGTTCGCTCTATCCCCCTGTGCACAGTAATGAAATAGAGTTTGGTCCTGAACTGACATTGTTAAAACCTGTAAATAATGCAGATGGGACTGAAGATCCACTGATTGGCAAAATGACTTGGGGTGCAATCAAACAAACCGAGTTTGACCTGCTGTTGTATTAGTCTCATCTGCCAAGCACAGGTTTCTAGTGGCCTATTTTACCCGGAATCCCTATTTTGTGACATCTATCAATGCATGGTCGTGCTTCTGTTGTTTGTCACACTCTGCAATGACCAATGTCAACATTTCATCTAGACAATCCGGTGATTGGCAAGCATAGGTTTCTAATGGCTTATTTTACCCGCAATCCCTATTTGGAGACAGCAGAGATTGCATAGGATCTATATTCTTCCACAGAATCCACTTGAGGAAACAAGCTAGCAACCTACTCTTACACAGAATGATTGTCACAATCCACACACGTCCATAGCTACTGCATGCAGGTGAAGTGGAACATTACATTTCCTCAATGTTTTTATGACTGCTATTGATGATGAACAAATGATTTAATATTCTGAATGATAATTTGATATCAAACAGTAAGTTCAAGGTTTCACATTGGCTACAGAACCAAATATTCCAAGTCAATCGTTGTTATGATAAATGTATGATGATGGTTGATAATATGATAGCCCTTTTTAGGGTTGTTTCGACTTAAATTATGCTGTATAGGCCAGTAAATAATTCAGGATATCTTAGAAACTGCTTACAATCTAACCTGATCATATGGTAGACATGAACAAGGTTGGTAAACAAACAATATCAGAGGATAACGAAGTATTAGAAAATTAATACTCAAGATAATAGCTTCTTAATACATCTACAATTCCCTATTGTCGCCAAATACACACCAAAATCCATGTGGGCTAGGGTACAGTTATACGTGAACAAAAACAATGTTAAGCTTTCAGGACAGGAACTTGGTTTTTCATTTGCTATTCTTGTCTTGTGTATCAATAAACATGAACAGTCAGAAACATTGACCTTTACCGAAAAAACACCCAATTTCCTAATGTTTGAAGCAAAATTTTGGGAATATATATAACGCTTCTTCTCAACAGGGCACCTGCTGGTTGCTAACGCAAACAATATTCGAATGTGCGCGTTCACAAATACCTCTTTGCTGTTTCATCACATTTATCAACACAGACCATACCAGAATGTATAAATAGCGTCTCGGATCTACTGCTGGAAGCGATCCAAGTTAGCCGGCAGGAGTGTAACACGTCTTTGCAGTTGTCATGTCACACTCACAGTGCACTTGTCAATGTCACTTTGTTTTGATTGAACTGGTCCATGTTCAGATTTTAAGGAAAGGGAAACTTACCCACTGATTGCAATGATGTCAGTTATTTCGGTGTAGTTTTTGCATGTAGACTTTTAATTGTTACGTGTGAAATTTTGTAAAACTTTATCTTGAATTCCTAACGCGTCTACTCCGAACATGCCTCAACGGCTTCCACCAAATCCGCCGCCATGGAATGCACTTCCGGTAAGTTGTTGTCTGGGAGGAGGAAGGGAGATAATCCATTAATGTCTGAGTTCTTATGTTATTCAAAGCGTAGAAGGAGCACTACTGTTCGACCCCTGTTTCAATCAGTCAAACTATCGTCACTAATTTTTGACATTTGCAAAACAATCAAAACTTTTCCAGGATTCATGTCCTGAAAAGATGGGATGCATGTTCAAATGCCACCTCAGCAAAATGTCAGCGACTTCTGGGGAAAACGGCTGTTGAAGGTCAAGACAAACGGACTTAATATCTATGACAAATATTTATTGAGCACTATTCCATTTTCTTACCTCGTTGATTGTAATATTATTGTTATCTCGCAACGATCGTACCACTTTTATTGTAAATACTTTCCAACGCAAAATAATAGCATAGTTACCAGTAACCAGGGTGTCGGAATCATAAGCCTTCATAGATGATCATCTTCTTCATTGTACAATAGCGACGTTTCGGTATAGAAACTTTTACCGTTTTCAAGCATGTCATCCATAAAGACTTGTCATTCCTATTACTTACAACTTCTATAATGCCTCTCAAACAGTTCCAACCTAGCTGAACCGCCTCCGTGGTGTAGTGGTTAGAGCGTCCGCCCGGAGAGCGGAAGGTCGCGGGTACGATCCCCGACTGCGTCATACCAAAAGACGTTAAAATATTGTACTTGTTGGTCCCTGCCTGGCGCTCGGCATTAATGGGTACAACAAGGACTAGTCGGCTCGGAGTCAGTATAATGTGTCTGAGTGGGGTATTCATGCTTCACTGCGGCATGGTATCTCAGTGGGCTAGCACTATAAAACCAGCTTCAGTCTTGGCTAGTACAAGCAGCCACACATACACACGCATGTACGTCGTCATATGAGCGAAATATTCTCAAGCACGACGTAAAACCCAATTTCACCTCACCTCACCTCCAACCTAGCTGTCTTCGTCCAAGCCGAAAGCTGATGCTCAAATACTGGAACTTTGTGATTTCTTAACATTCTAGTGACTTTGTAAGCAAACCTGTATGTGGTTTTGTGGGTCTGTAACTTAGCTACCAGATTTACCCTAATTCTGTAAAGCGTAGCCCTGACTAGGACTCATATGCAACAATGCGTCCATATGCGTTAGTTACAAGTGATGGCGCTCATGCAACTCCTCCTGGGTACAAAATCTTGCATACAAGACATCTATACGACAGGCTTGTGATCCCCACACAACAGCCGGTTTGACACTGACATGAATTAAGTAAAAGTACTCTAAGTCAAAAGGATGTGATGTTACAGCGGTAAGTCTTCATTGGGGAGATATATTTGGGACGCTTCAGTAAATAGGCAACAATGTATGAATACATGACACGTTTTATGGATATCAACTTCTTTCTATTCTTTACATGACGTTTCAGAGCTACTTCTTGCGCCTTCATCAGGTGTATATTATCAATGTTCGTCCAATTTCTAAACGGTATATTTAATTTGCGGATAATAATTTAGAATGTTTGTACAACAGCTATTCAGCGAGTTAACACAACCGTTCCAAGACGGGGAAATGCCAAACCCGCGGTGTAACTAGGGCTGCGCAATATGACCGGTTTACCGGTATTTACCGGTTCAGACATGAAAACGATACATATTGCGATACGCTGATCGAAAACCGGTATTTTGACTTGCATTCGGAAAACTTCGTAACACTCGGAAATGTTCGGATATGTCCTTGTTTCATTTGTGCCAAATATTATTCACATTTTTATTTTATCATGATTAAAAGTTGTTTTTAAAGCTTAATCAAGCATAGGGATTTTGTTGTGTTTTTGCTCTATAAATCAAGAAGTAACTCGATTATAAGTAGTTTTTCGTTTAAAAAACTTCATGCAATATATTGCATTACATATCGCAATACATGCTTTCGCATCGCAATATATCGCAATATGAAAATTCTCTGCAATACCCACCCCTAGGTGTAACCTCAAGTGTTTACACCAATATGACCAATATGATATGGAATCAAAATAGCTACTATGGTCGAACAAATTTGTACTATTCGTTAAATCCACATGAAGAAGGTATAGTAACTTTCTTGCGTCAATATGTACGAAGAGGAAAACGCTTGTATTTTCTGTTTTCTACTAATAATTTCCCTACTCTGTCTTCCAACAACTTTTCACCCAATTCAATAGTGATTTCCAAGCACAGAATGTATACATGTGTATAGCGTATCAGTTACACATGGGTATCCGGCAGAAACAGTTTCACACTGAAACGCAACCCCAACTCCTCTACCCATTGGCCAACGTCAACATACCTACATAGTATTTACTGCGAAAGTATATTAGCAATCATTTCGATTTAACATAAACGTGTAAATAACGTGCTTCTTAGTTTTGTGTTTTGGCTTGGATGACAGATGACATGAACCGTCTTCCCCGACTGCCTAACTACAACGTCTATGTTGGTTAAGACGTTTATATTTCCACATGCATCAAATTTCTTATATAGTGTCTCCGCCGTGATATTGCTGGAATAGTAAGAGCGGCGTAAAACCGAACTCATTCGCTTTTATACTGTACGATCCATGCAACCCAAACCAGCTTGTTGACTCTTTCCAAACATACACCCCTCCTCGATTATGTAAAGTCAACCCCTGACAATCCAAACGCTAACGTTCAAGTGAAATATAGGTATTGGGAAATGTCGAGTTTAAGGATTCATGGTTACAGATCAACGTTATTTGCGGTAACTACTAGTGCTGGGAATTGGTTGAAATCTCACAATTGATGATTGGTTCAATAGCAACGACCAGTCATCGATAAAAATTGGTTAGCGTCATATTTAAGATTTTCCTATTCAGGTTGTAGTTGCAGATAAACATAAAGAAAAAATATTTGGTTCTCTGTTGTTTTTTGTCTTATTTAGAAACTGCACAAATTACATTTGCAAATTTCACATCCAGTGGAAAATGATTCAGTTCCAGTGTAACATAAACTTCCAAGATTCTTCAAGATATATTCAGTCATGACTTTTCAGAAAGTGAGGTGAGTTTTCTAAGAATTAAACACGTTTCCCGGCCTTGACAACTCAATGCAATAAAGAAGTTGACTATCCATACAAATCAGTTTTCCTTCATCTTCACAACTTCTAAAATGCCTCTCAAAGAAAAAAGTCCTAGATATGTTCCATCATCAAGTATTTCAAACTCTATTACAGCGGTTCCAAAATCGTTGTGTTCGATTATGAGAAAATTTGATCGATTGCTTGGTCGTTTGGCCACTGCGACCAATCTTCGATTATTTCAACTAATCGGAACACCACTAGTATCTACGCATGCATCATAATCTGTATCACTAGTCTGGAGCACCAAGGTTACTATCTTGATTGTGGCCACAAGGCGCATCGAGTTCTTGCGGCTTATCCATCCTTACGAGGTGCCCATTCACAGCTGGGTGGACTGGGACACATAGTCACAGTACTTTGTCCAAGTTTACTGCACGTTGCTGTACCCGCAACTAGGTGTTTGCACGTATTCATGTGGCCACCATCTGGTCATATACCAACGGATTCGTGGGTTCTTTTAAGTGCACAGGGTTGTGTACTGTACACTAGGGGTTGTGACAACACTGAAAGAGTCTGCAGGCAAAGTTGACTCCAAGGTTTTTACACCCGGTCACAGGTGGGCTCGGTCCCGGCACCTCATGTTCGCTGGATCACTAGCCTGGCGCCTTAGCCAGCTCGCCCACCACGCCACATATTTCTGGCATATTGAGTGCGGCGTTGAAAACAAAAAAACCCAATGTTTTGTTCAATACCTTCATTGGTTGCCAAAAATAACTTTGTGAACATTTACGTGATAATAATGTGTATTTTGCGATGTCTGTCAATGCCTGCTGGTGTCTCTGTTGTTTGCCACACTCAGCAATATCCAATGTCTTTATGAGGGCAGCCTGTTCATTATTTCGTCTAGACAATCCAGTCACTGGCATTGAGACCCGTGAAGATCCGGGGTAGAATTAGATCTTCAGCAACCCATGCTTGCCACAAAAGGCGACTATGCTTCTGGTAAGAGGCGACTAACGGGATCGGGAGGTCAGACTCGCTGACTTGGTTGACACGTCATCGGTTCCCAATTGCGCACATCGATGCTCATGCTGTTGATAACTGGATTGTCTGGTCCAGACTCGATATTTACAGACCGCCGCCATATAGCTTGAATATAGTGCGGCTTGAATATTGCTGTACAGATCGTTGGTGGTGAAGGTAGGAATGTTCCAACATGGACAAGAGGAGGAGATGTACTTCCATGCAGATTCTTGTAACTTTGAAGTAGGAATGTAACATCAGGAGGGAAGTCAACCTCAAAGAAGTCAACCTAGTTTGGTAGGCTGTCTTGTGAATCTACTTTGGGCTCATTTGAAAGGCTCTATCATGAGCTTGAATCTAATAGGGTCGCCAACCACTTCCAACTGACATCTTTTGTGGAGTGATCTGACACAAATCACAAACAATGACTTAAACATATCCTTCATGTTTATTGGAACAGGATGTCATTAACCAATGATGTCAACATGAATCTCAGGATAGACCTCCAACAGCCCATGGTGGTAACAGGTTCAAAGTTTACAGTAACATAAAAAGCATTTCAACAAACAATCTTTCATTTCGTGGTTCACATTCACAAAATATTGAACTCTCAATTCAATATACATCAAAGCAAGAGTACCCACGATCATAACTTCAATAAATCTTTCCCGCTTACTTTTAACTGCCATTTGCCCCTGACACCTTTTCTGAATGAGTAAATAACTCACCTACCAAGCAATATGACAGTGATATAACGCAATCACATAGGTAGTTAATTGTAATCATTGGTACATATTCTATAAGGTATTCAGACTTGATCCTTCATCTGAGGCCATTGCTACATTCTTTGTGATATTTAAATCTCTCTGTGCCAGTGTAGAGTTGTCTCCCTTATGTTGGGGTTTCTGCTGATAGGGTGTAAAGTCTCTTTGTCGTGAGAAGTTTCCTCGTCTTCTCTCCTGCCACAGTTTGTCTTCTTCCTCTGAAGACACACAGACAGGCAGGTTAGACACAGACAGAGGGCATATCAGACAGATAATGGTGATAAAATCAAAGGAGATAAAGCATACAGCAAAGATTTTGAAGTGCAGAATGTAGAATTATTTTGAGTTGGCACTAATGTAAGATCCTTTCTTTTTCACTACCATCTCTTTTAACATTAAATAGCTTCTGTACATGTTTCATTAAAATTCAACAAATCTTATGAATATTTACTAACTGTAAGCCACTGTTGGTACCCATCCAAAACTTGGAAAAACTTCACATGTCATGAAATAGTCATGTTTAAAGGTGAGCTGATGTGATTCCCTACTAATGCCAACCAATTCATCCCAGTCCTTATACTCACCCTTAGACAAAAGGGTGTAGTTGTGGCAGCAAGAAGGTAGGACGACATTAATCGTGGGGTATTCTCACGACACACTTCCCACGGAGGTTTTCCAAGACAGACTTGCTGAGGTCCAGCTCATGATACCTTTAGTGGAGCAGTCAAAGTTGTCATCAACATAATTATCATAGCATTTCACATCACACGACACCTGGTGTCAGAAGTATACTACTCAAACAAGTTAAGAACATAAGATTCTTTTGTATTATTGTAGTTAATCTACCATGACCATGGGTGTTCTTTAACTTCTCTTGAATAGCATACACACCAAAACTTGCTGACACAATGGGGGGTGGGTTTCAGGCTCCGCCAACACACAAAAAAATCTGCAATGTGGCTTTAAGTCATTTTCAGAGGAGGGGGGGTCCCCGAAACCCCCTGACCCCCACCTCTGGATCCGCCAATGTGTATGTTTGATGTGGATGGTCCGATACAAGCGCCATAATGTTTATAATGTATACAAAGCCAGATAATACGAAGCTAACATTCTTAGTTATATCATTGCACATCAGCATGATGTTCCCGACAGTTACAACTTTACTTGAACACTTTAGCATGGGTAGATGCCCAGAAACCAAGAAATATTATCTGTTTGAACAAAGATTGGAACCTACAATCCAAAGGTTCTGGTATGCACAAGGGACGTAACTCTGATATCAGCACCCCCATAAACGACTGGAGCACCCTAGCTCCCTGTCAACAGAAGCCAGTCCAGGGGCGGATACAGCTTTTTGACAAAAGGGGTGCACAGTTTATTTTCATGCGTTTTCAGGAGATTTTCAATGATCATTTAATCAACTTTCAGGACAAAAGGGGGATGCACAGTTCATTTTCACACAATTTCAGGAGAATTTCAATGATCATTTAATAAACTTTCAGGACAAAAGGGGGCATGCACAGTTCATTTTCACAAGTTTTCACAAGAATTTCAATGGTCGTTTAATAAACTTTCAGGATAAAAGGGGGTGCGCGCGCACACCCACCCACCCTCTGGATCTGCCTATGCAGTCTATATAATGCAGACATCACACACCAACTCACCTGACATCATTAGCCGGTCTGACTTCAGCCTTCATCAGCAGACGACACCCTGCGATGCCTGCCTCCACGTACTGCCGTAGCTGATGCCGTACCAGTGGATCAGCCTCAGTTGGGTGGAGGTACTTATTCAGAAGTGTCTCCAGAGTGAGGTTCTGATTCTGTCTGCTCACAAATCAAACTCTTATTACAATACATGTCAAGTACAATTTCCATGTAACAAATGCAGCACTGAGCAAAATTGAAAAAGAGTCAAACTTTTTAGTGGACAAAGTGAGTGAGTGAGTTTAGTTTTACACCTTTTTAGCAATATTCCAGCAATATCACGGCTGGGGACACCGGAAATGGGCTTTCACACATTGTACATGGGGGCCATGTGGGAAATCAAACCCTGGTCTTCGGTGTGATGAGCGAACAGTTTAACCACTAGGCTACCCCATTGCCCCAAGTGGACATAGAGAAATATTACGTTTGGTAGTGTCACAACATACAGTCTACCTACTTCTTGTCCATGAAACTTGCATCAGCACTGGGGAATTTCCATTCAATCTGCCACAGAATTTCCTTGGTTCTAGAACAGGCAAGATGAGACATTTGACTGAATGAACAAGAGACAAACAAGAAGACAAAGTCATCAATATCCCCCAAAATGGCAAAATACTCAATGAATATGTCAACTAGTTATGATTATGTCCAATGTCTTGGCATGTATATAGCAAAGTGAAAGGTGAATATAGAAAGGTTTTAAAGTTCAATTCCAAAAAGAAGCACTACCTTCAAAGTCAAACTTGTTGCCACGGCAAAGCAAAACATATCTTATTCAGAAATCCATGACAACCAAAAGTCACCAGTTCACCACCAGACCTATCTATGTGCTAAGTTTGGTGAAGAAATATTAAACGTTTTTATGTTCTGCTCCGGAAAAGAAGACTGTGCACGGACAGAGTCCATTTTAATACCCCCCTGCAAAACGCGTTGAGGGGGATAATTACAGTGTTTACAATGTACAGTCATGACACTGTAGTCATGGTGTTGGGAATCGGAAATCAAATCCACTATCGATTATCGAAGGTTTATGAACAATTATCAATTAGAATTGAAATATATACATTTTTAACATAATCACCAATTTTACGGGGTTTTCCCCAGTTGTTTTTTTAATTAATGATTTTTATAACTAATACTGTCATGCAATGAAATGCAAGCATGCAAGAAAGACACTGGAATTGTAATTAAACAATAAAAGTGGTTAAAATTTTACAATGTGCATAGCTTTACGCTGTTGGGCACATGTTTGTTCGTGAATATTTGTCAAATTTAATGGTTAGTTTACTTCATTCAGGTGTGTAATACTAAAAACGAAAAACTTCAGATTAATCGAAAATATGTTTTTAACAATCGATAATCATTTTTAATCCTTCTTTCGATTGATTTTCGATCATCGGAACACCACTACGTAGAAATATCATCCACGTCTTCTGCAACTGACTGTGACATGAACCAGGCATCACTAAGGAGTGTAGGTAGACCTTACTTGTAGAGGAAGATTGTTCGATTATTCTTGCGTTTGGACATCGGATATGGCATAGTTCGCAATTCAATACCCAGAGATTCAGCATGACGGATTAATTTCATCAGCTGAAATTGCAATGATGAAATACTATATCAATGTCAACATGGAGTGAGAGAGTGAGTGAGTGAGTGAGTTGAGTTTTATGCTGCTTTTAGCAATATTCCAGCAATATCACAGCCGGGGACACCAGAAATGGGCATACCACACTGTACCCACGTTGGGAATCGAACCCAGGTCTTCAGCGTTATAAGTGAACACTTTAACCACTAGGCCACCCAATTGCCCATGTCAACATGGAAAACAGTTTGATGTAGCTTTCGTATGTAAATCTAGACTGACATGGTCCACCTATTGTCTTGGGTCACAAAAGCCACAGAGGCTACATCATAACATATTCCTGTAGGTATAAAATACCATGATATTATTTACCACAATCTAAAAGTAAACGATGGAGTAAGTATTTATTTTGTGTCATATTTCCAGGAGAGTTCCAGATGACAATCTGTGCATCATAAACATTTAAAGTCAGTTTTTCATTACGAGTCCCTCTTTCACTCAGCAGTGCTGGAAGAAAGCATATTTCTCTATAGCAGGGTAAATAGATATTTATCTATTTGATTGTTTGTTGTTTAATGCCGCACTCAGCAATATTTCAGCCAAATGGTGGCAGTCTGTAAATAATTAAGTCTGGACCACACAACAATGATCAACTTCATAAGCATCTATCTACGTAATTGGGATACGATGACAGAAAGTTTTCAAGTATGTTACAACAGGGTAACATAACAAGCTCAAAGCATTAGCTACATTTCCCAGTCACTCGTCACACAAGCATCATTCTCAGCTGATGTCCAGTTAAAAGAAAAATAATTGAGAATGTTGTTTACAGGTAATAAGTGTTTAGATAGGCACTCACTGCTTTGGGTTTGTCATGTTTTATCTTCAGGAAGTCTCGCTGACAACTGTTGTTTTTTCGACAACCATCCTCCAGAAAGCGGTAATCTGAATTTGAGAAAGGATCTGTTTAGAAGGTTTAGTGTGTGTGAAGGATCTTGTTTATCCATTCATACAGATGGACACATAAAACATTATCAATAAATAACGATAATAAGTACATTTATAAAGCACTCAGCTGCAGCAGGCTCATGGCACGTAAAGAAACAAAATACTTGACTATATATATGTCTGTATATCAAATTGTAACAGTTCCTAAAGAGATGTGTTCTTCATTTTGTCTTGATTTAAAAAATAATTGTTTCATGTTTAACGCCACACTCAGCAATATTCCAGCTATATGACAGCGGTCTGTAAATAATCAAGTCCGGATCAGGCAATTCAGTGATCAACAGCATGAGCATCAATCCACGCAATTGGGATACGAATTACAATGACGTGTCAACCAAGTCAGTGAGCCTGACCACCCGATCCAGTTAGCCGCCTCTTACAACAATCATGGGTTGCTGAAGATCAATTTTAACCCTGATCTTCAAGGGCCATTTCGTTTTGAGCACATTGTGTGTAGCTGATGTCTTCGGGATGGATATTCCATCGAATGGCTGCTGTTGCAAAGGAGCATCATCCAAATTTCACACTATCAAAATGCTGATTATACATTCACCTTTAAAAAGACCTTAAATAAATCATCCGGGGTGACCAATAAATGATGTGACACTGATTTCATATAATTACCATTAAGTAGATGAGTGTCTGTGAAGTCCTTCATTGCAATGTGGGCTGTTTTGTTACGTTTTCCATCACAGCCAGTCACCAGTTTGTGTTTGTTTACACATGGCAAGGAGCATGTGCGTTGATCACATCCAGGACAGCGATACTTGGCTGGGTTGTCCCCACACACCTGACACTGGACTCTGGAAAAGAACAATTCCTTGTGAAACAATAACTGTTTTATTGATAATTCTGTATGAAAATTGATTTTTAACACAATTTTTTACACTGCCTGCGTGATATAACACAAAATTGGTATCAAAATTGGTAATCTAATTTTAATCCCTGAACTTTCTGTAGCAGTTTGGGGATGTAGATGGATGATTTGGTTATAAGTTATAACGTAATAAAACATAACGAAGGGCAGATACTATTCTTACGTTGATCTAATTTCCGATTTCGGGGCCTCTACTTCTGCAGATGTCGGCTCATCTGTGTGTTGGTCCATATCATCAGCCACGTTTTCCTCTACAGTTGTTGGTTTGTCTGCATGTTCGTCGGCATGGTCCATCTTTTCACTCATAACGCCTATAGATGTTGTCTTATCTGTGTCTTTGGCATCGAGGTCCTCAACAACGTGCGTTTCGAGTTTGTTTTGGTTTTTCTCGAAAGCACGTGTGTACCATTACAAAAATCCGAACTATCTTAAAATGAGATGCAGTCATGGTTGTACTGACCATCTTTTGAAATACAGAAAATATTTACACCTCAAAATATATAGTAAATAACCACGTTGTCTCAACGCAAAAGTACATATTTTTCTTTAGGATATTTTCGGGTTATTTACTACATTTTGCAAATCCATGCAAATCACATTCTTAGTTTTGAAACTTCAACCACAAAATCAATGACGTAGAACACAGGCGGTGGATAATTTGACAGATAATTTCCCTTCGAAAAATCGATATTGAGTTCTGGTTTAACATAATGAATGCTGGGGATTTAGCCAATGGAAGCAAATACCAGTGCATATCGATCAGTAACGCGAGCATATCGAAATGTAGGGTATTATAGGTCATGAACAGTTTAATAAACATCGCAGCGGTGACTGGTCGAGGACACCTGCCGAGCTGGAAAGGATTGAATCAACAACTGAGCAAATCACGGTCAAAATCGGCAACAACTACCTGTTCCAATCTACTTGTGGTAGTCGAGTCCCAAGAATATCTTCTTACGTTCTAAAATTTGTCTGAAAATGGAATTTAGAAGTATTTTGGTGCTGACTATTTTACTCTCTCTGCAAATATGTGAGAGCATGAAAAATAAAACTCTCACCATTGGGGCCATTTTCCCGATGTCAGGAAGCTGGGCCGGAGGGAAAGCTTGTCTTCCAGCTGTTGAGATGGCACAGGAAGATGTAAATGCAAGACTTGACATTCTACCCGAATACAAATTGGACATGAAATACAATGACAGCAAGGTAAAATTTAATACCGAGTATCTATGACATTTATATGTTATCTTTCATGGGGACGACATCAAAGATTTATTGATAACACTTTAGTTTATGATGTTTAGATTATTTTGTCACGCATAATATGTTCTCGTCATAAATTTTATGCAAATTGATCTCAACATGCTCATATTTCTAGTAGTATATACCATACCTTCATGTGCCGTTGCAAATCTGACGTGCCTTGACTGATCACATGAATCCATGATTGGGGACTGCCTATGTGGTCAAGTGGATGGATCTACTCAGAGTAGATGTTGATGGTTTGATTTCTAGCTAACTCATATCAACAGACCTTAGAACCTGATACATTGTGATTCCAACAATTTCCATGGTATATCATACTCTTATTGTCTACATTTATGAAATTATTAGTACATAGGATGTTCATGTACATTAGTTTTATTACGAATTATGCATTTCAGTCATGGGTAATACTGCTTCATATATCATTCTAACAATTAATGTTTAGTCTCATTCTGAATATTCTGATAGATCGACTGATGTCTGTGTAACTATCTGAATGAAATATGAAGATTTCTGAAACTATGTTGAACAGTTTGTAAAGTTTGTATGTCTTTTATGATGGTTACAGTGTATGGGTGGCCTTGGCACAAAGGTTCTCTATCAGCTCTTGTATGAACCACCAACAAAGATCCTCGTCCTCACGGGCTGCAGCATAGTCTCCACCTTCGTGGCACAGGCAGCAAAAATGTGGAACCTGGTTGTGGTGAGACGTCCAGCTGTGTTGTAATGCATAACATGCTTTGGTTACTGTTTTTATCATGTCAGTGAAAGAACAATGTTTTTTAGTCCTCTAGAAATTCCAAGCTGAAAAGTTACAAAAAGCAGAACTTACAAAGACTTGCCTATTTCAATATATGTCAAATTTATATATTAAAAATATCTTGTGAAAATGATGATGGTTTTCTCCTCAGCTTGGCTATGGCTCCAGTTCCCCAGCACTTTCCAATCGAGAGAGGTTCCCAACTTTCTTCCGCACCCATCCATCAGCCACTCTACATAATCCAACGAGGGTGAAAGTTTTTCAGAAGTTTGGCTGGACTCGCATAGCCACAATACAACAAACGGAAGAGGTCTTTTCTTCAGTAGGTTTTCTCTGCCTCCTTGTTTGTTTTGTTGGGTTCTGAAGCTATTTTCATAACATGAAATATATTCATCAGAATATACCATATACTGTTATGTGTATTTCCGTTTTCATGTTTTTGTCAGCGGAAACTTGTTGTATAAAGTTGTAAATATGTTTCTTTTTAAATCAAATGGAGGTGTGAGTGCTTCCAACTGTTGTTGACATAGTTGAAGAAAGAACAGTATACATCAGGAATCACCAGAGCATGATCAAAGATAATTATATACTTATCATTTGTATTCATTCTTCCAATTTTCCAGTTTGTTAACAGTAACAACTAGTCCCAGGAATGTAAATCATTCCTCTATGGCAGTGAGATCAGAGATGTTCTTTGACAGTGACGTAATTTTAGCCAATGGTCTGCAAAGCAGTGAATTGAAATCTGAGGCATTTTCTTTGCTTTCAGACAGTCAAAGATTTGGAGGCGAGAGTGAAAGCTGCAGGCATCAGCATTGACGTCCGACAGAGTTTCCTCACAGACCCCACCAATGCTGTCAGGACACTTAAGGTTGGTACAGATTGTCTTAGTCTGACTTCACCAAAACACTGCACACAAATGTGGCCTGGCTGTGAGATTAAACATAAAAGTAGTGAACAGGAAACATCACACAATGTGATGTTGTGGAGATTGTTTTAGATTAAAATGGAATGTCTCTCTGAGGCAGGGGAGATAACTGCCTATGAAATGCAAGTTATAGTCCGTTTGGCTCAAAAGCGGACCGATGAATTGCAATCTAACTAGAAAACTAATAAACATAAAATACTCAATGAAACACTGATCATAATCAAACTGTCAGACCAACTCTGTGAGGTTTTTGCAGAATTTATGTCCTAAAAATTAAAAAGTTGTTTAACAAACTATCATTAAAATATTGACACAGTTCACTATTTGTTACGAGGGAGGAGTGCAGAGAAAATGACAGCCAGGTGTGCAAGAAAGGATGGAGACGGCACAGCATAGGTTAATGAATCAATAACTTGGTCAGCACTTGTGCACGTGCTTCTCTAACACCTGGCTGAATAAGACAGTAATATGCAGGGACCGAGCTTTTACTTTGAGCCAACTGTTTATCAAGTTCAACATAACAGTATTTGAATGTAACTTGTTTCAAACAAAATGGCAGCTTCCAGTCAAGATGATCTGACTGATATTAATAATGAAATCGGTCTTGCCTCAAATTACTTTATTACGTTGATTAAAGGCATGAAAAGATTTACAAACTAGCAGATATACATTTTGTTATGCAATATTTATTGGATTCAGTTGTCAGCCACACCACATCTCTGAAATTCGGCTGTCCAGTTTGGCAAGACTGGAAACTGAACTCTTATAGTCAGTTATCTCCCTTGCCTGAGGGAAAAATGACAATAAATGACAAAACATACATACCACACACATGTGATATAATTACCATTACGAACACACAAGTTATAAATACTTATTTCGGTGAAATAACTCTGGCTGTCATTCAGATCATTCTTAACAAGCTTCAGACATGAAGCATGAAAACTCACAGCACAGAATCAGTTATGCTGCAACAAGTATTTGATATTTCAGCGAGCCAACTTGTACTGACTTTCACAAGACATTGACTTGTTAATCACATAGTCTCTTTAACATGTTAAGCAAGTGATCATAAATCTTTAATCAAATTAGAAGTAAATTCTCAACATTACCTCAATCCCCATCTGTACATTATTGTTCCATTAGGAAGTAATTTCTGAACAATTTAAACTCCAGTCTATACATCTGTGAACAGAGGAGTAAATTCTTAACATTCTTAAAGGTCACATGCAACCAAAAAATCAAACATAATTAAAACACAATTATCACTTCTTCATGACATATAATATGCATTGCTGATTATGAAAAAACGAATAAACAAAATTATAAGCGTATAATCGCTAATCAAAAGTGCAATATTTTGTACTTGGGTTTACCTCCCTCGAAACGAAGCAGCCGGGATACCGAACCCAGTCAGAGCGGATGGGTGTGCACTCAAGTGTAACGGCTGGTTCATTAGCAGATGCCGCCTTCACGGCTAATTGTGTGTGTATATATAGAAAGTTGGGTTTTGTAAATACATGCTCATTTTTTGTGTATAACATTTTGCAATCAACAGACATCATAACATGTCATGTGCTCAAGTATCACACCTGCCTGTCTGTGTAATTACATAATGTGACAGAGACCGAACTCGGGCCATAAATCAATGCGTTTTGTTTATGGTGTATAGCCTGATTGGTGTTAAGTTCAAATTGCATGTAGTCAGTGATCGCAGTTGTGTATTGAATATTGTCATTAGCAGACAGGCAGGCAGACACACAGGTGTCAATAAGACATTGAGTTTTGTCTGTGACAGCGACATATCTATATCACAGTTAGAAATTGTGTCAACTCTAAATAATGACATTGCTTTTAAGTATCGAACTGAGAAAGTGACTCGGTAAGAAGAACGTGTGGTGAAATAGACAAATGAAATTATATAAACAGTTTATTTACTGTCATAACATATAAAAGCTCGCGCCTGTGAGATATCAACAAAATATTATGAAAAAACTCACACCAAAGCCTTCACCGAGTATTCACCAGACAGCCCACTTCCAAGTTGCGCGAACCTATTTCACTGCGCACGTGCTATGAGCGCAGCCCAGCTGTTGAAACCCGTATTCCCCAGAAAAGTCTGGGGAAAATTAGTGAAACGTTTGAACTCCGATTTCGCGCTTTTTTTTTCATCGCGTTATTTTTCAACTTTGTAAGTTGAATTAGCATTTTTGACGCTTTGTTTCGGTAAGTCCATACCGAAAGGTATCAGAATCTGCAAAGTTGTGTTTTACGTTGCATGTGACCTTTAAACATTCTCCTTTGTACATCATTATTCAGACGAGCAGTACATTCTTCACATTCCAATATTCTTTTCTATATGGTTATCAATGCATGTTAACAAGTTGCTCAATTCAGAAAACACAATGTTAACATTAGGGGTTTACAAACTTTAACTTTGTACACATCTAAGCATGATACATGAGGTGTCGGTGGTAAATTCAGCCTCATCCTTGTCTTCAAGAACCAAACTATAGAACTTACAATCACTTGTTCGTTTTCCAGCGTGGAGATGCTCGGATCATCGTCGGTGTGTTTTATGAAGACATGGCCAGGAGGGTGTTTTGCCAGGTGAGGATGAAGTGACTCACCTTTCGTGTGTTCTCTCTCCAGGGTTGGGGAAGCCTAATGGTTAATGCATCAACTCATCATGCCGAAGACCCGGGTTCGATCCCCCACATGGGTACAATGAAGCCCATTTCAGGTGGACCGTGATGTTCCTGGAATATTGCTAACTCACTCTCTCTCCAGGTTGGCCCAAGTTATCAAGTCTTAGTTAGCCCACATACTGATCCTTGGTCTCACTGAAAGGTTTCACTCAGTGTGTGAAGATCAAGGTTTGCATTGGTCTTCAGCAACCCTTGTTTTCTCGTACGAGGTGACTAACAGGATTGGGTGGTTAGGTTCACTGACATGGTTGATGCTCCTGGTATTAACCACTGGATTTCTGGCCCTAACTCCACTATTTACAAACCACCAGCATACAGTTAGAATATTGCTGAGTGAACCTTAAACTATAAACTAAAATAAGAAAGTAAAAGTTTCACCAAAGTAGCCCATGTCCATGTATTATACGTTATCCTTTTTTTCTGAGCAAATGTGGTAAGAAATTATATTTGCTCATTATTTTGAACGCATCGAGACTGATTTGCTGCAGGGGTGCAATGTGTAAAGCCCATCTCTTGTGATAATTCTTTTATGTTGATCTGGTTTAAACCAAATACACTCACTCTTACAATCCTATGACAGCCAGTCATATGACTGAAATAATTATAAGGAGAAAAACCTGACTCCCTCACTCACTCACTCTGCCTGTGCTAGGTGTACAAGGAGGGCCTGTACGGCAAGAAGTATGTGTGGTTCATCATCGGCTGGTACCCCGACAACTGGTACAAGCAGGCAGATCCCAGCATCAACTGTACAGTGGAGCAGCTAGAGGAGGCCTTGGAGGGACATTTCACCACTGAAGCCGTCATCCTCCACCAGGAGCCCACCATCACTGAAGTCGGACTGGTAATGTCCAAACTTTTCTTCAGTTCCTCACCTCTACTTCACTTTTATAAACAACTGTAAAAAGCTCACTTTAACTAACTTTAACTAAGTTTAACTAACTTTAACTGCATAACACTAACTACTTTATGGATAGCAACATATAGAGTTGAGTAAAGATAATAAAATCGGCAATCACTCTGTCATCAGTTGTCAGGAAATTGTTATGTAGTAGCTCTGAATCACCTCTCAAATTTGCAACCGCCTCCTTGGTGTAGTGGTTAGAGTGTCCGCCCGGAGAGCGGAAGGTCGTGGGTTCGATCCCTGACCACGTCATACCAAAAGACGTTAAAATATGGTACTTGTTGGTCCCTGCCTGGCGCTCATCATTAATGGGTACAACAAGGACTGGTCGGCTTGGAGTCAGTATAATGTGTCTGCGTGGGGTATTCATGCTTCACTGCGGCATGGTATCTCAGTGAGCTAGCACTATAAAACCAGCTTCAGTCTTGGCTAGTACAAGCAGCCGCACATACACATACACACGCATGCACGTCGTCATATAGCGAAATATTCTCAAGCACAACGATAAACCCAATTTCACCTCACGTCACCTCAAATTTGCAGTTTTTCATGACAATGTTTATTAAAAAAAAGCAAGATTTATGGATGTCAGCTTCTTTATTGTGAATAACACAACATTTCGGAATGAATGCTTGCTCCTTCATCAGTATTTATTATTTTTATTATGTGAAGTTTACATCCACAATTCAAACAGCTTGGCTTTACTACAATATTACCACAAAAATACCACCTATTTGACTTTTATTGGAACCAAACTGACTTTCTCCTATATCTGTTCTTGTCAAGTGAAAGGGTGTGTCATACATATTTTTCAGACGGCAAAAAATTTCACGGAAAGACTGAATAAACGACTAAATGTAACAGATACAAGCCAGGTCACTGGTTACCCAGAAGCCCCTCTGGCTTATGATGCTGTCTGGGCAATGGCTTTCGCCCTGAACAAAACAGCAGCTAGGTATGTAAATACGATTGTTGTCCGTAGTTTCTGTCACTTCATCTCTTCTGTGTTTCCAGAAGATAAGATGCAGGATGAAATCTTGTTGGTTATCATTGTTATCCTACTGCAGGGCTAGATTATCTAAAGTTGAGCTTCTGCTGGTATTCTGAGGCAGGTAGTACTGTGGGTAACGTACCAGGTTAACTGTGGCGTCTGCTTGTTACGTCTGCTAGATTGGATGTCCAGATGAGAGACGTGGTTGGCTGTTATTGAACCCTGACAACCTGGGAAACTGCTCATATTAACCAGTTACTTAGATTTATAATTTACAAGCCACCATGTTACCAATGGATTATTTCTAACTTCAGGATTGAAGAATGTTTACTTTGATGTCTAAGTTCTCTCTGGCTTGTCATCTGTCAATCATCAATCCTGTTTAGCCAATAGTTTACTTCATTCTTGTTTACTGCTAACAGTTTACGTCACATTTGTTTACTGCTAACAGTTCACGTCACATCTGTTTACTGCTAACAGTTTATATGACCCTTGTTTACTGCAAACAGTTTATGCCACACTCGTTTACTTGTTTACTAATAGTTTACGTCAACCTTGTTTACTGCCAATAGTTTACTGCTCACAGTTTTCATACTTCTAAGAGTTTATGTCTAACCCATCCTCGATAATCTCCAGGGTATACGTTACGATCACTCTCCACTATATCCTGGATGCATCCACGGCTTGGCCTGATGATTTTATTACCTCCCTTTGCTGGCTTTTTATCCAATCAGGTGTCTATGCTGGGAAGTTGAGCAAACCAATCAGAACTCACTTTTGCTTCTTAAATTATCTAACCGTTTAACCCCCTGGATGCCACAGGGACATATATGTCCTTCCCTTTCAACCCTCAATTTCAAGTCCAATAAAAATCAAAATATCCCACGCACACAAATACACTTCACAGTTTCGAATTCTGCGGGACATTTCCTGTTTCTTGATACCATCCAATATTATTTTAGACAAAGCTCAAGTGCTGAAAATGACCTTTCAAAATAGGCTTCATCGAAAATGTCGCCATTTTTGACACAGTACGAAATCGCGATTCACAGCGTTATTTGCTGTATGTTTTGAAATGTGAAAATCGGATAATTACTGGGAGTATTGAATTTCAAAAATAACATACTCATGATCACTGATATCAGTTTTACATGAAATCGCTAATTATAATTCTGAAACGTTGCCGATGAATGTAGAATCGGTTGGGATGTTTTCGAAAATGCACTTACACTAACGCCATAGAGCCCGCCATATTGGATAGTGTTTACAAAATCACGCGTTCGCTGAAGGCCGGTGTTGAGGCGCCTATTACATCAATTATATTTCATATTCAGCTTCAAAAATGCATCACTGAATTCCCATACATTTTAGAAACAAATTGCAACTGGTCTTCGTCACCAATACCAACTGTCCACATAAAATGAGACTTAAAACATATTGGGTGTGAAAACGATCGCTGTGCTCGAAAGACTGCGCTGGTTCGAAATGTAAACAAAGACAAATTCGATTTTACACTGGCGTAGCATTTTCTGAAATTTTTCAACATTCATCCGTCTATTCATTGCTTGCAATGGCTCAATACCTTTGTAATATGCATGGAAAGAGTATCGTAGTAAGAAATAGGAAATTATCAATAGATACAATGCAATGATTTGATAATTCATAAGAAATTGTCAAAGTTTCCGTGCAGCGTGGACGCCATGACTGACGCAAAATCCATAGAAACGACAACTGTAATTATCAGCATTTCTGGCTTCTTCTTACTTCACGGTGAAAACGATAAATACATATAACAATACACAGATAGTCAGAATCATTCTGATTACTTACATGTCACATTTATGTACAAACGATCCCTGAATCAATTGAAGGATCCTCGCAAAATCCTGTGTATCCTTGACAGCAAAGCCGCCATTTTGTAAGAAATAGGTCAACGATGGTGATGTCATACGTCAACATTGTTGTACATATTAGGCAATTTCTTTGAGGTGAAGGTCGGTTGAACAAGGGTAAACACAATCGCCCAATCCTTCCGATTACACTGTCAGTATTATGATGTATATTTTGCGGATAGTTCAGATACTTTTTTTATGAAACTGACCTCAGTATCTACATTTAGCCTTGTCCAATATCATATCATACGTGCATATAGGATTTACGGTGTTTTATTCTTTGAAAGTTTTTGATTGTTTGAATCATATTTACATAAGAAATTGACACATTTAGTGCAGTAGACCATATTCTAAACCTTTACACAAGTGTTAGAAGATCAAACGTAGCCATAACTGCAATTACTTTAGTTCCTATGATGTACAATATTCAATGCATTTGAACTAATATTGCAATGAGCAGGTTAATGAACGGCGATTTGATTAAACCTTATATGTAAAACTGATAATATTTAATGAAAATGATTTATGTATGTTATGAAATGTATATGCACACACATTTAAAGGAATTGTCTTGTTCATTACACTTTTTGTGTCGCTTTTATAGAGAAACAATGATGTATATTGATTGGCCAGGTGCTGGCGTTTGTCGGAAACGCTTTTATGATTCACTATCATTGTTTTCGATAATATAATCAATTCATATTCGATTTAAAAATATTGTGATGACAGGATATCAAACTCTAACTATATTTATACGAAAATTGTTTAAAAATATATATACCATGTCATGCCTTCATTAATTTGGACAAATCTTACATCCATATTCTAATATTTAGTACGTACTAGTTCCATATATAAAAAGCTATCTTTTTGCATCTTCCATTGCATACTTATGAAGAGAAATAGCTACATAGTCATAAATAAAGAAAATTCTTATCCTAAACAAAATATTCGGGTGTTGTGAAATGTTATTTTTCATTTCAGTTAAATTGATGCCAAACAGGGTGCTGCGTGTTGCTCATGATAAGATACACAGTCAAACTGTCTAATTGTTGATATATTCAGGACACTATTTAAATGGAAAAACCAGTCATTTTATGTTTTGTTTAAAGAGTGTTAATTCTGACAAAGAAGCCGAGTCCTTTCACACAGTAAATGGAAATTAGGTGCGATATATACTAATCAGCATACCAATGTCGTCCTTTTCCGACGTCGCAAAATGCATAAAACAAGCAATGACGTCAACTAAAATGTTGTATTATTTTCAGCAATTTCATTACATTTCAAGATATGGCTAGTATTCTGGTAATAACGATGCACAATTAGTCAAAATACATCTACACAAACAGGAGAATATGGGAATCTAAGAACTAACTTATATATCGGATAGGGCCATTCAAATCGCTATTACGTGCTTTCACATGTAGTTCGTTGTCATCTTTTCTTATAAACTGTGAAACTACCAAAGCGTATCTGCTCACATTGGGGAACTTTGAATTGGAATAGTTTGGTTCACCGTGAACAAAAAAAACCGAAAATATAGCGTCCGTATCCACAACAAATTCTCTCCAAGTGATCTGAGTTACATTGACCAAGTGTTAAGCATAACGGAGTTATGCCCCCTTATCTTTATACGTGTATGGCCTCTCTGTCGTTGTCTGACGTCATAGAAGAAAATCCATTTTTGACATTTATTGCGAGTCATTTTTAATGTTGAGCGTATAATGTTATGCATAAGCACATAAATCCAATTCACATACACTTATGTCGTTCAGATATCAGGCTGTATTTTCTTCGCTCACTCTTCCGGAAAGATGCCAAAATAAAAATCGAGTACAGTGCTTTTATCGGTGCGCGATAAAAGGCGGAGAAATTTCCTGTTTTTTAACGCATAACAAAAATTTGGACAACATTTAGCAAGGTCTATTTCTCAAACCGCAGAGGTTGTTGCACTTATATTTATACCAACGGATAGGAAATTTAATATTCTACATTTCTGTGTAATTTTATAGCCGTACGTAGATCCAGCACCACGCGAGCGCAATTCTCGCACAACGTTCACTTTTCAAAGCATATGAAAATGTGCGCCTGAAAAAAAACTCGGCAGCCAGGGGGTTAAACTCAGCAACACAATTGATGCAGAGGTACTCTGAAAGAGGTAGATGGAGTTCTTTCATATATTTTATTAAAGTTTCAGATCTGTCAATTTTTCTGTATGATTTCCAAAAAAATCTGAGTGGCACTGCGAACAAACCTTCGCGACTGCGACTGCTATCTTTGTTGACACTGGCAAGCTCAGATGTAACGGCGGCTTAGCTGATTGGCTACTGTGAGAATGCGGAGCCAGCAAAGGGAGGTAATATAATTATTGGGCCAAGCCGTGGATGCATCCAGGGTATAGTTGAGAGTGATCGTAACGTATACCCTGGAGATTATCGAGGATGATGTCCCCCTGGTTATTAGTGGTTCACCCTTGTTTAATGCTAACAGTGAACCATGTTGTATTTGTCAGGCTGGCAGAGAAGGGCATGAAGCTCGAGGACTTTGACTACTACAACAAGAAGATCACTAACGAGATATACTCTGCCATGAATACTACCAAGTTCCTTGGAGTGTCGGTCAGTACGAACTGTGCCCAAAATTTCACTTGATTGGAACCAGAAAATGAATAATACAGATATACACAATACACAACCCCTAAGTAAATCACATATACATGTACTTCCATATATGCATATATGTCATACATCCCTCCCATATCAGTGTGTCACAGATGACACATCATGCATGTATCACACATTACACACAATATTACACATAACGTACAAATCATGTCATGATATATACACAGATGACACATTGTATCGCATATATACATGCATGACACATCATAACGTCCACACACACACAATAACACACACACACACACACACACACACACACACACACACACACACACACACACACACACACACACACCACACATCACGTGTCACGCATTACAAACTGCAAATGACATATACGTCGATATAATATGTCATACATACCTCACATATCTGTGTATCACAAATAACACATATCACACACATATATCACACGTCACACAAACTGCCCACTGCATGTGTGTGTATTGTTTCAGGGCAATGTGGCCTTCTCTTCTCAAGGTGACAGAATAGCCTGGACCCAGATAGAGCAGATGATCAGTGAGTCAAATTGATTTCTTTCATAGTCCACAGGCCAAACGCAATGTACAGAAACAACATTATTGTGCAAAGCAAATCCGATAAATGTATGTGAAGATTCCAGTTTAGGATTGGTCTTCAGCAACCCATGCTTGTTATAGGAAGGTTGTTGTGGTCAGGATCTCTGTGTGTGTTGATACACATCCGCATGTCACAGTTCCACGCATACATCATCATAATGTCAGCCACTGACTTGATTACTTACCGACCATCGTCTCTGAGCTGGAATATTGCTGAGTGAAACATTAACCCAACAAACAAAACTTACTTGATAACTGCTTGTGACAGATGAATAGATACAGTGTGTTTCTAATGTGGAATCATTTCCACGTAGTTCTTACTTAATTACTTACTTACTTTAATTACACATTTCATGATTAATTCAGCCAAAGTGATATTATATGCTGTAAAAGAATATGTAATATTTCAGATGGGACATACTACAAGCTGGGCTACTATGATTCTATGGCTGATAATTTGACATGGTTTGACAAGGAGAAATGGATAGGTAAAGACTGATGGTTAACAGAAGAGAAATTGTTCTTGTGCACTAACTTCTCAAGCACACTCATGACATGTATTTAATACTGGATTTAAACTTTTCCATTGGGCGGTGGGGTAGCCTAGTGGGTAAAGCGTTCGCTCGTCATGCCGAAGGCCCGGGTTCGATTCCCCACATGGGTAAAATGTGTGAAGCCCATTTCTGGTGTCCCCTGCCGTGATATTGCTGGAGTACTCCTAAAAGCGGCGTAAATTCAAACTCACTCACTCACTCACTTTTCCATTGTTTCCAAAGTGCAGTAAAGTAGTATAAACGCCTGTCAGTTTTATAAGTTTATCATTAGCATGGTTCATGGATCTAACACTACCGGTAGATGATATACATGGCACTGACTATCTTAGGGACCGTTCATAATTTATGGCTGGAGGGGGTGATGATGATTTTCATGTAGAAGCATGTACAATGTGAATGACCCCACCCCCTTAAAATTCATGTACAAAATAAGTGAACCCCCCTGCATGTCATGTACAAAATCAATGACCCCCCTCCCTTCCTATAATTTAGCATAATTCTAAACATATTTTTATGTACAAAATTGCTGACACCCCTAGCTCCCCAGAACAAAATTGGTGCCCCCCTTAAAATCATCATCTTCCCCACCCCAAGCCATAAATTATGAACGGTCCCTTATATCATGACCTATCTTGAATTCAAGGTGGAAAGTCACCACCCGACCGGACAAAGGTCATTGACCATCTGCGTGTTGTGTCAAAGATGTTGTACTTTGCGATGTGTGCCCTTGCTGCTGTTGGCATCATCGTTGGGAGCGTCTGTCTCGCCTTCAACTACACCAACAGGCACAGAAGGTAAAAGGCTTCTTCTTCAGTATTTGTTCCCAAGTAATGTGTTGCTATTGAAGTAATTGTCCAGTCATAATGCTTCCTGTTTCTACATGAAACCTGAGGAAAGTTCTTGCAAAATGAGAATGTCAAATAAGGGAGATAATTCAGTAGTTATTTAGTGTGTAGACCACTAAAAAATATAAGTCAACTCTATGCTTTGAGTGTTTGTTGTATTGCAGGTGTGTAGCACTGTCCCAGCCCAGCATCAACAGTCTCACTGTCATCGGCTGCATGCTCTGTCTCTTCTGTATCTTCCTCCTGGGGCTTGATGGGAAGTTTGTATCGCCACAGAGATATCCTGTCATTTGCCAGGTGAGATTTTGTAGCCAGATCTAGGTCTCATTCCATCAAGTGGTAACTGTAAGACAACCCTGTCTCACATTCCCATATTTACAATTGTCATGGTGCTGTGAGCCGAGTTTCCACTACACACCAGCCTCTAACTGTGATCGAACCATGAAGGTCCAGGTTAGAATGAGCCTTCAGTAACCCATGCTTGTCGTAAGAGGCCACTAACGGGATCGGGTGGTCAGGCTCGCTGACTTGGTTGACACATGTCATCGGTTCCCAATTGCGCAGATTGATGCTCATGCTGTTGACCACTGGATTGTCTGGTCCAGACTCAATTATTTACAGACTGCTGCCATATAGCTTGAATATTGCTGAGTGCGGCGTAAAACTAACCTCACTCACTCACAAACTGTGATCATTAAAATCATTACGACAAGTAATGATGTCTCCCTTTACGTAATCAAGACTTCCCTGCAAATGTACCCTTTGTATGACTGTAGAATTTGGAATACAGTTACACATTGACTTGCCAATGTCAAGCACTCACAGAAAAGAAAAGAAATGGCTTGCATATAATTGATAGATTCCAGGCGACAATAATAGAAAATGTGTTGCTTTGTTTTGAAATGAATATACATCTGGGCATTTTATACTGTATGTAGGAAATATATTTAAATGTCTATCAGGAAATGTATGTATGAATGTAGAGATCTGATGATGTTGCTGTTGTGTAGGTGGAGGCATGGCTGTTGTCGGTGGGGTTCACGCTGGGATATGGCAGCATGTTCTCGAAAATCTGGACAGTGCATCAGCTGACAACATCACGCAAGAAGGATCGAAAAGTGAGACATTCTTTCTGAGCTAAAATTAAGTATAGAAGTGAGTGAGTTTTAGCAAGAAACATAATGAGGGGGAATCTGGGATTTGAACCCACAAGAAGCAGGTTTCATAAGCAAAGATTACTGGGATATATGTTTTGCCTGACTGACAAGGGGACCTGATATTTGGACCATATATTGACATTTAAGCAACAAAAGAGGTCCTCCTAACAGTCATTACTAAATTGTCATGATAGAATGCAGTTAGACGTACTGTGTTTTGAAATAAGAGTTATTATAACAGATACATACTAAATCTAAATTTAACATACAACAAGCTGTATGAGTTGGGTTGCATACAGATTTATACTGCCTTAAAATTAAATACTAGATCCTCGGCAAGAGGCTTTAATTGTTAAAGTTAGAGTAAGTACATCCTGTAAAGAAATGGGAGCTGTACATTGACATATGTTATATTTGGGATTACACTTTCTTAGTAAAGTACAGATTCTAGTACTTTTTGGGTTGAGTCCCATCCGGGATTCGAACTCACACCCTCAGAGTCAGGCACCTAATCGCCAGCACACAAAGTCAGACGCCTAGACCGCTCAGCCACCGCGGCTTCCACAAAAATGGAAGTCGGACAACTGGTAGTCTAGACTGCAGACTTTGTGTACCCCTCTGATAAGTGTTAATTGGCACGGCTACCACGGCCTAAAGTTATGAAATACACAATGTCATTTTAGAAAGTGGTTAAATGTAACATATGTTATATTTGGGATTACACTTTCTTAGTAAAGTACAGATTCTAGTACTTTTTGGGGTTGAGTCCCATTCGGGAATCAAACCAAGCACTCTCAGAGTCAGGCACCTAATCTCCAGCACACACAGTCAGAGCTGTACAAAATGGAAGTCGGACAACTAGTAGTCTAGACTGCGGACTTTGTGTACAAAGTAAAGAGCTGGGAGCTGTACATGGTATATATCTGATTACAGTCAGTAAAGAGCTGGGAGCTGTACCTTGTATATATCTGGTTACAGTCAGTAAAGAGCTGGGAGCTGTACCTTGTATATATCTGGTTACAGTCAGTAAAGAGCTGGGAGCTGAGCTGTAGTTAAAGAGCTTGTATATATCTGGTTACAGTCAGTAAAGAGCTGGGAGCTGTACCTTGTATATATCTGGTTACAGTCAGTAAAGAGCTGGGAGCTGTACATTGTATATATCTGGTTACAGTCAGTAAAGAGCTGGGAGCTGTACCTTGTATATATCTGGTTACAGTCAGTAAAGAGCTGGGAGCTGTACCTTGTATATATCTGGTTACAGTCAGTAAAGAGCTGGGAGCTGTACATTGTATATATCTGGTTACAGTCAGTAAAGAGCTGGGAGCTGTACCTTGTATATATCTGGTTACAGTCAGTAAAGAGCTGGGAGCTGTACCTTGTATATATCTGGTTACAGTCAGTAAAGAGCTGGGAGCTGTACCTTGTATATATCTGGTTACAGTCAGTAAAGAGCTGGGAGCTGTACCTTGTATATATCTGGTTACAGTCAGTAAAGAGCTGGGAGCTGTACCTTGTATATATCTGGTTACAGTCAGTAAAGAGCTGGGAGCTGTACCTTGTATATATCTGGTTACAGTCAGTAAAGAGCTGGGAGCTGTACAGTAAGAGCTTGTATATATCTGGTTACAGTCAGTAAAGAGCTGGGAGCTGTACCTTGTATATATCTGGTTACAGTCAGTAAAGAGCTGGGAGCTGTACCTTGTATATATCTGGTTACAGTCAGTAAAGAGCTGGGAGCTGTACCTTGTATATATCTGGTTACAGTCAGTAAAGAGCTGGGAGCTGTACCTTGTATATATCTGGTTACAGTCAGTAAAGAGCTGGGAGCTGTACCTTGTATATATCTGGTTACAGTCAGTAAAGAGCTGGGAGCTGTACCTTGTATATATCTGGTTACAGTCAGTAAAGAGCTGGGAGCTGTACCTTGTATATATCTGGTTACAGTCAGTAAAGAGCTGGGAGCTGTACCTTGTATATATCTGGTTACAGTCAGTAAAGAGCTGGGAGCTGTACCTTGTATATATCTGGTTACAGTCAGTAAAGAGCTGGGAGCTGTACCTTGTATATACATCTGGTTACAGTCAGTAAAGAGCTGGGAGCTGTACCTTGTATATATCTGGTTACAGTCAGTAAAGAGCTGGGAGCTGTACCTTGTATATATCTGGTTACAGTCAGTAAAGAGCTGGGAGCTGTACCTTGTATATATCTGGTTACAGTCAGTAAAGAGCTGGGAGCTGTACCTGTATATATCTGGTTACAGTCAGTAAAGAGCTGGGAGCTGTACATCGTGGTGACCATCCTGCTCCTGCTGGACATCAGTGTGCTGGTGGCATGGCAGATCCTTGACCCCCTGCAGAGGAAGCTGGATCTCTTCAGCCTAGAGGCACCAACCGACACCGAGGAGGACATCCAACTCCGCCCAATGCTAGAACACTGCAACTCCGACAACCTCACTGTGTGGCTGGGTATGTAACCATGGCAACTCTGACTACCTCATTGTATTGCTTGGCATGTAACTATTAGTATATATATAACATCTGGATCAACCTTACAGTGTGTGGCTGGGTATGTTACCATAGCAACTATGCCACCCTTTCTGTGTCACTGCATATGTAACAACTCTGACAAGCACACTCTGTATCTGTGTATGTAACCATGGCAACTTGGACACCCTTACTGGCTATATATGTAACCCTGGCAACTCTGATGTTGAAAGAAAGTTGAGGGGAGGCAAAACTTTACAGTATTTGGCTCTTATATATCTCATGCTCTGGATCAAATAGTTCTAAAATGTATACAAATGTATATAAAATGTATGTTTTGAAAAGAAATCTGAAGACATCGGTGTTCCTAGCACAATGTCAGTGTGAACTGGTCCAGCTGAGCAGTGTACCCTCTGTCTGTTCCAGGTGTGTTGTTCGGCTACAAGGGGATCCTGCTTATATTTGGTATCTTCCTGGCGTACGAGACACGCAGTGTCAAGCTGAAACAGGTCAACGACTCCCGCTTCGTCAGCATGGCTATCTATAATGTTGTTGTAAGTGTGAGCCAGTGGATAACAGGAGGATTCATACCTGTCTTAATGTGTATTTTAATCATAATAATTCAAGAATTTCATCTAATGGGATCGGGTGGTCAGACTCGCTGACTTGGTTGACACATGTCATCGGTTCCCAATTGCGCAGATCGATGCTCATGCTGTTGATCACTGAATTGTCTGGTCCAGATTTGATTGTTTACAGACCGCTGCCATATAGCTGGAATATTGCTGAGTGCGGCATAAAACTAAACTCACTCACTCAAGAATTTCATTCCAGAACAAAATGCTGCATTTATCTTCTTTGGTAGATAATTATTCTTTGAATAGTATTAGAATTCATCTGTTTTCACTCACCTTCAAATCCACTCACTTTCCAAATCACTCACAGACACCTAAACATATGGTTCCTCTCCACACACCAAAACACTTAATACTCAATCAGCGACCCTCTAACACTCACTCACCCTACATGTAGCGTGCTATCTAATCCTCCTCCCCGCCTTAACACTGACACTTTCATCACCCATGACACACTGATATGCCTTAGGAGCCAGCTGCTTCCTCTTGCCTCACACATGCATATTGTCGTGAAGATCCGGGCTAGAACTGATCTTCAGTAAGCCATGCTTGTCTCCCCGTGAAGATCCGGGCTAGAACTGATCTTCAGTAACCCATGCTTGTCTCCCCGTGAAGATCCGGGTTAGAACTGATCTTCAGTAACCCATGCTTGTCTCCCCGTGAAGATCCGGGCTAGAACTGATCTTCAGTAACCCATACTTGTCTCCCCGTGAAGATCCGGGTTAGAACTGATCTTCAGTAACCCATGCTTGTCTCCCCGTGAAGATCTGGGTTAGAACTGATCTTCAGTAACCCATACTTGTCTCCCCGTGAAGATCTGGGTTAGAACTGATCTTCAGTAACCCATGCTTGTCTCCCCGTGAAGATCCGGGTTAGAACTGATCTTCAGTAACCCATGCTTGTCTCCCCGTGAAGATCCGGGTTAGAACTGATCTTCAGTAACCCATACTTGTCTCCCCCGTGAAGATCCGGTTAGAACTGATCTTCAGTAACCCATGCTTGTCTCCCCGTGAAGATCCGGGTTAGAACTGATCTTCAGTAACCCATGCTTGTCTCCCCGTGAAGATCTGGGTTAGAACTGATCTTCAGTAACCCATGCTTGTCTCCCCGTGAAGATCTGGGTTAGAACTGATCTTCAGTTACCCATGCTTGTCTCCCCGTGAAGATCCGGGTTAGAACTGATCTTCAGTAACCCATGCTTGTCTCCCCGTGAAGATCTGGGTTAGAACTGATCTTCAGTAACCCATGCTTGTCTCCCCGTGAAGATCTGGGTTAGAACTGATCTTCAGTAACCCATGCTTGTCTCCCCGTGAAGATCTGGGTTAGAACTGATCTTCAGTAACCCATACTTGTCATAAGAGGTGACTAATCGGGTGGTCAGGCTCACTGACTTTGTTGACAAATGTCATCATATTCTAATTTCGTTGATCGATGCTCATGCTATTCATCACTGGATTGTCTAGTCCAGGCTTGACTATTTACGGACCGCCACCATATAGCTGGAATATTGCCAAAGCAGCATAACACTAACTCACTCACTCCCCACACAGGCAATTCTACTGTCTCCTCCCAACACACCACTCATCCTTCCCCTCCCTAGTGCTACCTAATCCTGACCCTGCACCCAAACACACATTCACCCCCTCACTAGGGTACTACCTACTTCTGGTCCCCGCCCACTGTATATGTGTTTATGTGTCAGGTTCTCTGCGTCATCACTGCACCAATCAGCCTCATCATCGGCAATCAGGAAAACGCCACATTTGCATTTGTGGCGCTGGCCATTGTCTTGTGCAGCTTCCTCTCCATGGGCCTCATCTTCGCACCCAAGGTAAGCTGTACTGCCATTGCCAACAAGTTATAAATGCAGAAACCTAGAAACATTTGGGAATATTGCAAGAGAAGGCATTCACGAACCTGAAGGAGTAAGCATATACTCCGAAACATAGTGGTCCTTAGTATAAAGAAGTTAGATCCATAAATTTATTTCTCTCGTGTATCATTTCTCAAAGCCATGCAAAGCCAAGTATTTGTTTGGTACTTACAGACAACCTGCTTGCATTTGGAACTGGTAATTTATTTTAGGGTGGGTCAGAGAGTACAAAGGGAGGATAATCACAAAATATGACTGTCTATGAATGAGGGACATAAACAAAGTACTGGCACACACTTTTGAAGGGGTGTGTGAAACAATTGAACGTATTCATAATTAATGTATATGTTGAAATGAATTATAAGGTAGCATGGTTTCAGGCATTCAAATAGTCCTACCTTTGCCTGGAGTTTGTTCTGATCTTAATTACTCCTATAACATGACTGTAGATGATTGAGATTGTCCGCAACCCACAACGTAATGGACAGGAAGTGAGATCCCTGACTGACTCGCTGGTGAGCCGTGAGGAGGAAGAGAGACACCAGCGTCTCTTGGCGGAGAATGAACAACTCAAGAAACAGATTGCAGAGGTAAACACAAACTTGAATACCTATATATAAGACATAAAGGACTAGTGTGTGAGTAGTTTTATGCCACTTTTAGCAATATTCCAGCAATATCACGGCAGGGGACACCAGAAATGGGCATCACATATTGTACCCATGTGGGGAATCGAACCCGGATCTTCGGCGTGACGAGCGGGCACTTTAACCACTAGGCTACCCATCATCCTGATCATGTGTAAATGTCAATATTATTTGACCTTTATCTTAAAGTGGCATTGTGTTCTGTTGTCAGGAGACCACCGTCAGTCAAGGCTAAAGTGTGTAGTGCCCTGTGTAGCACGGAGACATTGTGGCTGTGGCCGCCCACATAAAGGACTAGTCTATATCATATTTCACTAACGTTCCCCAAACATTGTATTTGAAACCATTGAACTGTGACATGTATTTATGTGCCCCCCACCCTACTCTCCCTTTCAATGTGTCATTTTTTCATGACCTCCTTCATTTCGTACATGATTTTATAGATGGAAGACAGAGTCCGTGAGCTGAACAACCGACTGCAAGAGAAAACACAACAGCGAGAGCAACTCACACAAGGTCAAAGCCAGGTCACTGGTCGTATCACTGTGGATACGGGGGAGGTAGAGGTTGAAGCTAACGATATCGGGGCAGGAGATCGTGAGGTGGGAGAGTCATCACATCTACTTGGGAAGTCATTTGCGGAGGATGGGAACATCACTGTGGATCCAAACTCTGATTCAGGACTTGCTAGTGGCTCGTTTGCCAAAAGCTCAAAAACATCTGCATCAGATTCAGAACCTTTCTGTTGAAGGGGAGAGATCAGGTTATGTCAAACCAAAGCCAAGGTCTTTGTTTTTCTCATTGTTCTTCCCAATTTGTTCAGTTTGTGTCACAGAAGTAGATGCTGTTATGGTGTTTTCACTGAACTGATGACCTAGCTACATCACAATAGAATTCCCTATGTGATATGTCAGCCATTGTTGATGGTGTACAGACATCTTGCCTGAGGACTTATGGGTAATAGATCCTGTGACACTAAATAATAGCACAATAATGTAGGCCTTTCATTTTTTAAGTGATGATAGGTTTCTTTAGTGTTGAAGTGATGTCAATATTTCTATACTCTACTTCAGAGTTCCATGCGATCAACATAGTTCCTATGCCACAGACCAACTCATGTGACAGCTTGTCAGATGTTACTCAAACCATTCAACAAGTTACAGGTTAATCTTCAATTTCATTACTTAATTCTGCATACTTTGTAAACAAATGTTACAAAATGTTCATTGACATAATGTAAACATGAAACACTGTCCATTTTGATATTTGTAATTTGTTTACAAAGACTTTACGGTTGACATGCATTCACTAGACATTTGAATCCTTAGATAGCTAAACATAATGTCACTTTGATGTGTAAAGATACATTATAATATTCAAGGCCACAATTTAGTATAATATTTCAGATTTTGCAAAATAATTTATAAATTACACTGACAGACTTCCAATAGATCATGATACTCTGATTTCAATGTAAGCACATTTGTGTACAAACCAGAGAATTGTCCAGTAACATGATACACTAATGGCAGTGCTGTAATGCTGAGTCATCAGATTTCTATACTGCTACGTTTTGCTCTGTCTTCCGAACCATGTTCTCCATACACCTTCCTATGTTTCATCAGCCAATATTCAGCCAGTCATTTATTATCAAATATCTCCTGTATGTTTTTGTTGAAGTCATTCATCTGCCAATGGTTTTGTTGAAGTCATTCATCTGCCAGCAGTCAAGCAGTCATTCATCCACAAATATCAACTGTATGGCTTTGTTGAAGCCATTCACCTGCCAATATTCAACCAGTCATTCATCCACAAATATCAACTGTATGGCTTTGTTGAAGTCATTCACCTGCCAATATTTCATGTATGTTGATAAATACCTTTGTTGACATTCACCCGCCAATATTCAACAATTCATCCAGTTTGAGTTTGATAAATACCTTGACCCATACCACAACACCAGTTTGAGCTTGATAAATTACTCTATGGTCACATTGAGAGTGACACGGCTAACCAAGTCATCTGATGCACTGTAATTAGTTGTGCACAGTTGTCTTCCTTAAAGGTCACATGCAACCAAAAAATCAAACATAATTAAAACACAATTATCACTTCTTCATGACATATAATATGCATTGCTGATTTTGAAAAAACAAATAAACAAAATTATAAGCGTATAATCTAAATCAAAAGTGCAATATTTTGTACTTGGGTTTACCTCCCTCGAAACGAAGCAGCCGGGATACCGAACCCAGTCAGAGCGGGTGGGTGTGCACTCAAGTGTAACGGCTGGTTCATTAGCAGATGCCGCCTTCACGGCTCATTGTGTGTGTATATATAGAGATGTTGGGTTTTGTAAATACATGCTCATTTTTTGTGTATAACATTTAGCAATCAACAGACATCATAACATGTCATGTGTTCAAGTATCACACCTGCCTGTCTGTGTAATTACATAATGTGACAGAGACCGAACTTGGGCCATAAATCAATGCGTTTTGTTTATGGTGTATAGCCTGATTGGTGTTAAGTTCAAATTGCATGTGGTCAGTGATCGCAGTTGTGTATTGAATATTGTCATTAGCAGACAGGCAGGCAGACACACAGACACACAGGTGTCAATAAAACAAGACATTGAGTTTTGTCTGTGACAGCGACATATCTATATCACAGTTAGAAATTCTGTCAACGCTAAATAATGACATTGCTTTTAAGTATCGAACTGAGAAAGTGACTCGGTAAGAAGATCGTGTGGTGAAATAGACAAATGAAATTATATAAACAGTTTATTTACTGTCATAACATATAAAAAGCTCGTGCCTGTGAGATATCAACAAAACATTATGAAAATAGCTCACACCAAAGCCTTCACCGAAGTATTCACCAGACAGCCCGCCCAAGTTGCGCGCGAACCTAATTCACTGGCGCGACGACATGCTATGAGCGCAGCCAGCTGTTGAAATCCCATATTCCCCAGAAAAGTCTGGGGAAAATTAGTGAAACGCTTGAACTCCGATTTTGCGTGTTTTTTTTCATCGAGTTATTTTTCAACTTTTTAAGTTGAATTAGCATTTTTGACGCTTTGTTTCGGTAAGTCCATACCGAAAGGTATCAGAATCTGCAAAGTTGTGTTTTACATTGCATGTGACCTTTAAGTATGCCAGGATGCTATGTTTGGTGTTCTCACCAAGATTAACCCAGTTTGTTTCTATGTGAGCCAACACCATGATCATGTGATTTACCACAGTTGTAAAATCTTCCTGCCATGGTAAGCTGACACACTATGAATATGTTCATAGCGGAGTTCATAATTTATGGCTTGGGGGGTGATGATGATTTTAAGAAGGGGTCACCCATTTTGTTCTGGGGAGGTTTGGGGAGGGGGGTACACATGCACTTGGGGTGGGGTTTCAGCAACTTTTTACAGAGTAATATTAAAACATTATGCTTAAAAATCATGGGAAGGGAGAGGGTGGGTCATCGATTTTGTCCATGACATGCAGGGTGGGGTTACTTACTTTGGGGGGTCATTCACATTGTACATGCTTCTCCATGAAAATCACACACACACACACACACACACACCTAGCCATAAATTATGAACGGTCCCTAATACAAAAGGGCATGCCACTTATCACTGCCAGTATAGTGACAAGGGGGGTGGGGTAGTCTAGTGGTTAAAGCGTTGGCTCATCACACCGAAGACCCGGGTTCGAATCCCCACATGGGTACATTGAGTGAAGCCTATTTCTGGTGTCCCTCGCCATGATATTGCTCGAATATTGCTAAAAGCGGCGTAAAACCAAACTCAGTCAGTCAGCAGTATAGTGACAAGAGACAATAATATGGCGATGTAACTTCCAAGAGAAGTTATGGTGGTGAATGGATCCATGTATTTTTCAGAATAGAATGTAGACATAACAATAGATGATCAAGAATGCCAGTTGTGACGCATCTCATGTGTTTGTACTTTATAACTGCCATGAACGTTACCGAAGTCATTTCTATGAAGGCTCGTTGTACTGTATATTTCAATGAATCTATTTTCAAGCTTGTCTTCCTATTAGTTAACAATATATTCACATTTGGTAGGGGAGGTGAAGCCCATTTGTGATATCCCCTGTCATGTTGCTAGAATATTCCACAAGATACCACATTAATTTTTCAGTCACATACAATATGGTTATTTTCAAATCTGTTTTCTCATATTATTATAAATATAGCATATTATGAGGTCAGTTTTGGCATCTGCTAATATAATTGATTACAAATGCTCCAACTGGTTTGATTATTGGCCTTTGCAATGCAGCAGTAAGTTGATATTGGGGTTCTAGTTAGTTGTGGGGCGGTGGGGTAGTCTAGTGGTTAAAGCGTTGGCTCGTCTCGCCGAAGACCCGGGTTCGAATCCCCACATGGGTACAATGTGTGAAGCTCATTGCTGGTGTCCCCCGCCGTGATATTACTGGAATATTGCTAACAGCGGTGTAAAACCAAACTCAGTCAGTCAGTCAGTCTAGGTAGTTGTACATGTACAATGTACTGAGTTAAGTGACTAGTCTATCATACAGACCCTGAAACAAATATAACCAAAGTCTAGATGTGTGGCAAGTCTAGATTGCCACAGTTTCTAATAATGAAGAAAGTCTCTGGGCTTCTTTTTATTATATTTTATTAACATAATTTAGAAACTTTTTTTTTCTTTAAAATATGTTCATGTCAGGAACTAGATGTTAGTCTAGTAAGTGATGTGAAGAATATTATTAATGTCAGTTTACCTGAATAACATCTGTTGGACATGATGAAAGGCATTTTATGATGATAGGTTGTGATGACATGTACAGAACATATTTATTCATTGTTTGTTTTAGAGATTATTGTGTCAGTACAACATGTAATGTTGTAGTAGTGCTACAGTGGATATTGTCATAGTGCTTAAGGTTGGAGTTATTCAACCCGACTCATGTTTCAGATTCTCTAGATTTTGTGTGCCAAGACGGCATTTCATTAACCTGAAACCAGGAAGACAAGCTGCCGTGGGATACAAGTTTGATAATTATTTCATGGCGGCCTTTGAAATAATTTTGTTTTATTGGCAATAACTGTTGAAAGTAATGGAGACCTCTTGTCAGCGACAGTTTGGGTCAAGGTCAAGTTGTCATCTAAAAAGCTGACCTTCTTGCAGCTCCACGGTGTCCCATGTCAACTTTTTGCTTGGTCAAGGATGTCTGTAGATGCTCCCTGTAGATTTAGAAATTGGGAGGGAGTCATGTGACCTAACTAAAGTAACCAGGTCAAGGTCAAGGTTGCTGTACATAGCCTTCATCTAAATATTTCACTGACATCGTCAATGCTTACAACGAATTGGCCTCTTGTCACTGTCCATCTTGAATAGTTTAATCTACTGGTCCATGTTGTTATCAGTTTTATAGTCACAAAAAATGTGTCACATGAGCGTTACTAAAGCCATTTTATGAAGACTGGTTGCTGACTGTACTTGTGTGGCATCATCTTTAACTTAACATACTGAAGTTTCCTTTCAGTGAGTGTACCCATTTCAAACTGGACTACCCATTTGACAGCAATAGATTCATACTGGATAGGAGTGGTCTGTTAGCATAGTAGTGAAAGCGTTTGCTTGTCGTTCTAAAGATTTGATTTCCCACACATTACCATGTGTGAGACCATCTTGTGTTCAACACTGTTAAAGAATACCATACTCATTCAGAGTGCAGTTATTTGGAATATGTCTTCCTGTATGAGACCAAATACAGTCTAAAATCTTTCAAATCAGTTTTGTCACATGTGGTACCATGGTACAGCCAGACCAATTTTATTTCTTGTTTTACTGATTTTGGTCCTCAGAAAACCTAAATGCAGGAGGGAAAAAAAATAAATATATAATCACCAGTCAAAGTAATATTCCTTTTAAATACTCAATGTATTTTACTTTTGGCAATTTATGAAGTGTATATGGGGCAAAAAAAAAGTTTCATGTGTTTACATTTTTGGCCAGTAAAAACATTAGGAGTTTATTTTGTGAGCGGGGAAAATTAAATATATTTTTTTCTTTCTTATTCTTCCCAAAAATATGACAGGCGGATCCGTAAAACAAGAAATAAAATTGGTCTGCCCTAACCTTGTTTATTTCTTCCATGCAGCATGTACTTACCAGTTTGGTCTGTTTGATTAGATGGTTTATGGAATTTAAAAAATATAAGTAACCAAGTAATCATAACAAATACAAATTTATGTGTACATCAATGCAGGGCTCCAGATAAGGGCCGTATCGGCGTATGTACGGATACAAAATATGCACGATACGGTAGCAAATAATTTAGAAAACGTAGCAGGTACGCAATAGTGTACGGTTTTAGAATCATTTACAGACGTATTTATCTGAAAAAAATATTGGTTTATTGTTTATTGACCTGTTCACACAAGACTATCAATGTTGTGGTGCATATATGAAACGAAACACAAGATTACTGATACGCCATTAAATTCCACTAAGTACTCTAAATATACTCTTAAGGTTTTCCAGTACTCCTGTAGTGAAAAAATATGGAGTACGTACTCCTGATGTTGAAAAATTATCTGGAGCCCTGTCAGTGGTCTGGTATGTTTTCCAAGGGAGATAATCCTTTGTGGAGACCATCATTGGTCAACAGGGTGAAAATGGCCAGTATTGTACAGAAACATAGTCATTGCTGTTCCTGTTCATGGTTGTCATGGTGATTGTTGTCCCTGTATACTGTGGTGTACTGAGCTGGTACAACACCAATAATACTTAGTACAGTATCAGCATCTAGCATAACATACACAGCAATGTGAAATTCAAGATTACATTTAAATTTTGGTATTATCAAC